AACCACAATTTTTTTGAAGTTCTTACAACAAGCAAATGGAAAGGACATGCTAGGGTGGGAGCGGGGAGAGGGAGGAGGGAGGGAGGTTTCGGTGATGAGACGTAATAATCAACTACATTGTATATTGACAAAATAAAAATTAAAAATAAATAAATAAAAAATAAAACTTACATATGTAGATTACATGCGTGGCTCATGTTATATTTCTGTTGGTTATTCAAAAGTGTGTAAGATAGGATATCTCTTCTAGGCATCTGGTAGGGAACAGGACTGACAGGCAATTAGAGTGGTGTGGTGAGTGAGATAGGATCTCATGCACAGGAGACATCTAAACCAGTTTTGAAGGCCTGTAAAAGGTCTTTAAGGCAACAGTAGTGTCTTGTTTTTTCTTCTGTTTTACCCTCTTTTGAGGTCTCTATGTCTGCTTTTTGTTTAGAAGAAAATAAAAGTCACAAACGAATTAAAAATTTTTTGGAAGTCTTTATTTTAGTGGTATTGGGTAATCAATCTAATGAAACAAATCAAAGTTAAAGAAGGCCTGAATTTGCTTACCGAAGCCACTTCTCTTTGTCCTCTCTCCCCAAACACTAGCTTAGACAACCAAATGGATGGTAGTGCCATTTGTGAAGTATGGAACACAAATCAGTGTTAGGTCTGTTAAGTTCAAGATACCTGTGGTATACATTCAGATGGTGATTAACATTAAGTAGTTGAGTTATGGAACTAGAGCCTAGAAAAAATCTCAACTGGCAATACAGACTGAAGTTTAAGTAATAGGTAGATATGAGATCCTAAGGAATTGAGTAAAGTGAAAAATAAGTTAATGACAAATCCATTAACCAAAATAAGTTAATGAGGAACAGGGAGGGTAAGGAAAAGGAACATAAAGGCCACTGGCAAAGAATGGCCAGAGAGCGAGGAGGAGTTCGTTGTGTGCTATCAGGAGTTTATTGTGTGCTTCCAAGAAGCAGTAAGCATAGACAGTGTGAAATGTGGCTAAGAGATAAAAATAGAGACTGAGAAATGTCCATTGTCTTTAATAATGAGGTGAAAACAGGTTCTCTGGGAGGGTTTGAGTTAGGTGCCAAAGCTAGATTGCAGAAGGTTGAAGAATTCATGAGAGGTGAAGAATTGGAATCAGAGACTTACTGTTTGGCAGGGAAGGGGAGGTAGTGGGAGGAGGGAAGATTTTTGGTAGCTCTTGATAGATATATTTAAAATAGGACAACTTGGTATGTGTGTATTTGTGTGTGTCTGTGTCTTCTCTGGGTTGTAACTCCTTAAGAAAACTTTCTATATCTGCATTTTTGGAATACAGTGCTGCATCCCTCACAAGATAACTACCCAATAATTGTTGATCGTGGTTTTAATTTTAATTAGTATCTCTTTTTAAACAAGATTCTTTATCAACATTATTTCCAAATTCTCTAAACATTAAATTTACATAAGGGCTTAATTTTATCCTAGCTTAAATGCACTATGACCCTTTTGTATGGCTTAATGAAAAGGGAATGGGCTTTGGAGTCTTTTATAACTATAATTCAAATCCAACCTCTGGCACTTTAGCTATGCGATCTTGAACAAATTAATACCACTTTTGGCCTCTTCTTTCTCATCTGGGAAGTGAGGATATAACTCTTCCTTTATTGTTAGGCTTGTAGGATTCAGTGCGAAAACATGTTAAGTTTTTTTGTATATGAATGTAGTGTTTTGATATGAATTTGGCACTCAGTAAATGCTTCATAGTAGAACAACAACTTTATATGTTATACATGCCAGTATTGCAGTTTTTATAATTTGATTTAAAGTAGTATATGTGATATGGTGTTATATTTTAAATAAGAGGAACATTTAGTTGAAATTTGAGTGAAAAATTAACCTTTGAATAAAAAAAAAAATGTTTCTTTTCTTGCTGCCCCTCCTCCCCTTCCAGGTCCTGAGGGAGTCAAACAAATTAGCAGAAATGGAAGAACCACCCTTGCTTCCAGGAGAAAATATTAAAGACATGGGTCTGTAATGGTATTTTTTGTTTAACTTCCTTCTCCCTTCTGACTGTGGAGGTTTCTTAGTACTGTCAGCATACAGAGAAAACACTGGCTGTCAGAGACACCTCCTGTCCAGCAGTCTTCTTTACTTGCACCCTTCCCAACATCTTAGTGTGTTCTGCAAGCTAGGCCTGGACCTGCTGGTAGTGTTCAAGTTTGGACTACTGGGAAGCATGCAAATTAAATTATATTTTACCCTCGTTTGTTTTATTTCTTTGAAAGTAGGTGACTTTTTTTTTTTAAACTGTTGCTGAATTCTGTTAAGGAAAATTTCATTATTTTGACTTACTGCATTCAGATACTGGGTTGCCTAGATAAAAACATGGAATTGTCACTTTATATAAGTAATTTTTCTAAAACACATTTTGTCTTGTTTGCCTCCGTTATGTTTTTCTTCTCTGAATAAACTCAGGCAATTTTTTTTGGATGAAAGTATTTCACATCCTTTGCAAAGCAAATCATTTTTGTACATAGGTGCCTTTCTCTGTCTAGACTAATACTTATAATGTGGACTGAAAACTGAAAATGAGCATATAAAATGTGTTTTTGTCCTCCTGCTTTTGCTTTGTTTCATCTGTGTGATAGTCTACAAAATACTAATAGTTGATAAATAATATGTTAAGAGAATGAAGTAAATTATTTTTTAGCCAAAGTGTATACTATCTTTCATTTTATTATTAATAATAATTTTTAAACAGAATTTAAGAAATGCTTAATTTTCTCTGGCTAGGTGTCATTTCCTTGTATAAAAATAAGCAAGCCAAAGGGGGGAAACTATTCTTTAAATGGGTTGTTATTACCAACTAAATTTAGCCGCTCCTTTATTTTTTTGGGCAGCTGGCCATTACTGGGACCTGAACCCTTGACCTTGGTGTTATCAAGACCATATTCTAACCAACTGAGCTAACCAGCCAGCAAAAATTTAGGTTCTTAGCACTTAGTGTGATATTTGTCTCTTGCTATTGACTCTTCTTTAAAAACCTCCACAGTATTTTTTCCTACTCAGCCTATGTATACACTAAACTCTCTATCTGCTCAACTACTTATAGAGTTAGATATATATTACCAGCAATTATTGAGTGCTTACTGTCATAGTTAATCATTCTTAGAGTAATATTCTGAGAAACATATTAATCCGTTTTCTAGATGAGGAAACTAAGGCATTAGGGAGATTACTCAGCTAATAAAGCTATATCTAGCATTGTGAAAATTTCTTTTTTCTTACATTGAACCTATTGTCCATGCTGCTTCCACTATGCTATATGGTCTTATAAAAGACTATCAAGTTATCACTTGGTCCTTCTCTTTTTTTAATATCAACACTTCCTAGGACTTCATCCATGACCTGTTTACCTTTTCCCTTGTATATACTCTTTACAGTTGATCATATCTAATTTAGTAACTTTACCTACCATATATTGGCTGCTGACTCCAAAATTTGTATTTTCATTCTGAACCTCTGTCCTAATGCATGTAAACAAATGCTTCTGTCTTTGACACGTGCCCTTCCATATCCCATAGGAACCTAATACCCAACATCTCCAAAACTGAAATCATCACCTTTAACCCCAGCTTACTTTTTTCTTACATTCTCTCTCTGTTGACATCAATACTAGTTTTCCATTCACTCAAGTCAGAAATCTGGTTGTCATTTTACACTGTTCCTTTTTTCTGAGTTCCTTTTTCCCCCTAAGAAATAGATTTTATTTTTATAGCAGTTTTAGGTTTACAAAGAAATTGAGCAGAAGGTACAGATAGTTCCCACCGCTCCCCCACCCCCTATATGTATATTTTCTCCTATTGTTAACTTGTTACATTAGTGTGGTACATTTGTTACAATTGTGAACCAATAGTGATATACAAGAGCACTTTAAAAAGTTTGTGGAAAAATTGGATTAAAGATAATACAATCATTTCATGAACTTTTCAAAGACCTCTTGTATTAATATTAACTCAGTTTTACATTTTCCTTTTTATGTTGTACAGTTCTGTGGTTTTGCCAAATGCACAGTTTCATGTATTCATCATTAAAGTATCATACAGAATAGTTTCACTGCCCTAAAAGTTCTCTGCACTCCACCTATTTGTCCTTCCTTCCTTCCCCGAAACCCTGGCAAGCACCAATTTTTTTTTTTTTCCCCATTACCTCAAACATCTCTGAACTCTTAACATATAATCAGTTACCAGATCTGGAGGAGTCCACTCTAAGAATTTCTTGAATTTATATTCTCTCCATTTTCATAAACACTTGTTATAATATTTATGCGTTTTGGATTTCAGGAACTTATGAGAAACTTCAAATGGAAATATCCAATAAACAGAAATGGGAGCTTAGAAGAAAAATCTAGATTTGAGGTCCATATTTGGGAATCATTAGTTGAAGATGACAGGAGGAAAATAACTCAGAGAATATATGGAATGAGAAGAGGGACATTAACATAGCTTTGATAAACACTAATATTTTATAGTTATATGGGAGAAGAGGAACAAGTGAGGGAAACTGAGGAGGGAAGAGAGCGTGTACAAGACAAATTGGAGAGAGCCAGTCTAGGCACTTACCTTTGTCAAGAATATTCAGTTTACTTCCCCACTTCTGTATCTTGGATTAAGTTCTTCTTTTGCCTTAGGTGCTTTGTCACCATCTCTACCTATCTAAAGGATAGCTGCCATGGGGAGCAACTCCGATGCTTATGCTCCTTGAACACTCCTCTGACCCCATGGCTGAATAGCCTTTCCTTACTCTGTATACTTAGAGTATGTTTTTCTGTCTCTCTTTCTGTACATGTTGCATGCTGTCATTTGTTACACTTATTTGTATATGTTTATTATCCTCATAGATGTGTATTCTCAAGGTAATTTTGGTATACCTTACAGAAACTATTATGAATTCTTTTTCTGATCTCAGTGAGAATTTGAGAGGATTAGTAGATCTAAGAATCTTTTGGTACCACTAGATAGTGTTATTATGGAAAAACTGACAGGAAATATAATTTTTAAAATATCCTAATTTAAAATCATCTACACAGACTTGATTATTGTGCAAAAAAATTAAATTTAATAGGAAAAATGTCTAAAGTTAGGGTAAACTTCCATATATTTTTTCATGTAAAAAAGACCTTGGAGTTTTAGTTGGCTTTATATAAAGGTTTAGATTTTTTTTAAAAAAGTTAAAGCAGTGTCAGGAGCATCAACAGAATGCTTTAGGAAAGTAACAGAGCATTATGGCCTGGCTACCTCAGGAGTAGAGGTACCGGCAGATGGCAGGAATTCAGCCTTTAATGCATGAGGCAGATGTTAAACAGACTGTGCTAAGTTAGTAGCTTAGCTTAGTGATAGGAGAGAAGGAAGCATGATGTGGTGGAAAGAGGTCTGAGTTTTTAGTCAGAGGAATTGGATTAAAGTTTTAATCATAGCAGTTACTGGTTGTGAAACAATAAGTAATTTATTTCACTTTTCTGAGCCCAGGTACACTCATCTAAAAATTATGGATAATTATATTCTTTTATTTAGGGGTTGTTAAAAAAAAAAAAAGTTCAGGTACACTCATCTAAAAATTATGGATAATTATATTCTTTTATTTAGGGGTTGTTAAAAAAGTTAAATGAGTTACTCTGCTAAAAATTGCTTTTTAAAAAACTCTAGAGTGCTAGGTTGGATGGCCGGTTCGCTCACTGGCTGAGCGTGGTGCTGACAACACCAAGTCGAGGGTTAAGATCCCCTTACCGGTCATCTTTTTAAAAAAAAAAATAAATAAATAAATAAAAAAGTTAAATGAGTTACTCTGCTAAAAATTGCTTTTTAAAAAACTCTAGAGTGCTAGGTCCTCCCTCCCCCACCCATCCCATCAACATCATATCTGTTCACTTGCCTTAACAAGTTCAAGGAATTGTGATTGTTTTGCTTCTTCCCCTCCCCCCCTTCATTTTTATATTTACTTATTTATTTTTATTAGCTCCCACAAATAAATGAGAACATGCAGTATTTCTCTTTTTTGTGCCTGGTTTATTACGTTTAATGTAATTTTCTCTAAGTCCACCCATGTTGCTGTGAATGGTAGTATTTCATTTTTTTTAATAGCATAGTATTCCATTGTGTAGATGTACCACAGCTTCCTTATCCACTCATCCAATGATGGGCATTTAGGCTGGTTCCAGCTCATGGCTACTGTAAATAGTGCTGTAATAAACATGGGAGTACAGGTATCCCTTCCACATGATGATTTCCATTCTTCTGGGTTTATACCCAGCAGTGGAATAGCAGGGTCATATGGTAGATCTATCTGTAATTGTTTGAAGAACCTCCATACCATTATCTGTAGAGGCTGAACCATTTTGCAGACCTACCAGCAGTGTAGGAGGGTTCCTTTTTCTCTGCATTCTCGTCACCATTTGTCATTTTCAGTCTTTTGGATATTAACCATCCTAACTGGAGTAAGATAGTATGTCAGAGTGCTTTTGATTTGCATTTCTTGAATGCTGAGTGATGTTGAGCATTTTTTCATGTGTCTGTTGGCCATTCATACATCTTCCTTTGAGAAATGCTATTTCGTATATCTTCCTTTGAGAAATGCCTATTTAGCACCTTTGCCCATTTTTTAATTGGGTTACTTTTTTCATTTGCTATTAAGTTGTTTGAGTTCCTTGTATATTCTGGTTATTAATCCTTTGTCAGATGTATATTTTGCAAATATTTTCTCCCACTCTCTCAGTTGTTTGCTCTGTTAATTGTTTCTTTTGCTGTGCAGAAGCTTTTTAGTTTGATATAATCCCATTTGTTTATTTTTCCTTTGGTTGCTTGTGCTTTTGGGGTCATATTCATAGTCTGTACCTAATCCTACTTCTTGGAGTGTTTCCCCTATGTTTTCTTTAAGGAGTTTTATTGTTTCAAGGCATATATTTAATTCTTTAATCCATTTTGAGTTGATTTTGGTATATGGTGAGAGGTATATGTCTAATTTCATTCTCCTACATATGAATGTCCAGTTTTCCCAGCACCATTTACTGAAGATGTATTCTCTTCCCCAGTGTGTAGGCTTGGTTCCTTTGTCAAAGATCAGATAGTTGTAGGTGAGTGGGCTGATTTCTGGATTCTCTATTCTGTTCCATTGGTCCACGTGTCTGTTTTATTGCCAGTACCGTACTGTTTTGTTTACCATAGCTTTGTAGTATAGTTTATAGTCAGGTAGTGTTATGCCTCTAGCTTTATGTTTTTTGCTCAGGATTGCTTTGGCTATTCATGGTCTTTGTTCTTCCATATGAATGTTAGGATTGTTTTTTCCAATACTGAGAGAAATGTCATGGAATTTTGATGGGGATTGCGTTGAATCTGTAGATCACTTTGGGTAGTATGGGCTAATGTATGGTTTAAAAAGCATTAATGCTGTGTAGATTCATCATTTATCATTTAATAAAATGTTGCTTGTGATTATTTTTCTACAAAGTTGTGTATCGGTTGCTTGGTCAGGAATATAATATCCTTTTATAATACTGATATTTTGTATACAAATTATATTTTGTATACATTTGTATATATTTGTATAACTAATTATATTTTGTATACATTTCATTTTAACTACAATATTTTTCCCAGAACTATAATCAGATTAGGAGTTTCTGGTATATATGTTTTAGGTATTGTATTTTTAGAAGAATGTCGCCAAACTGGACTGTTGCCAGAGGAAGACCAGGAGATTACTGAGGTGGTCTAGGAACTGTGATGAGATGAACAGTGACTGTGCCTTGACACATTTACTTTTATTACCACCATTACCAGCACTCCTTCACCCCGCTACTCCAACCACCATGCCTATTTTATCCAAGGGGATAATAGCCATCTTTGTTTCCTTCTGTTCTGTTTCAGGGGAAGAGAAGTCCCTCCACCTCTTCAGTCCTTCCTATTTATTCTATAATGCATAGTGCAGGGTTGGAAGCGTGGATTAGGTTTCTAAGGTGTCTTGGAATCATTGATTCTGTGATTTCTGAGCATAAATTAGACTAGCAATCAGAACAATTTTATAAGATAAGAAAGTAGTATTTAATAGCACATAATGTATGGTAAAATATGGACTTTTTACCTTTTCAGCCAAAGATGTAACTTATATATGTCCATTCACTGGTGCTGTACGAGGAACTTTGACAGTCACGAATTACAGGTTATATTTCAAAAGCATGGAACGGGTAAGACTTGTTGAATTTGATTTTTGTATGTATGTGTGTGTTGTTCATATCCAGTTTTGTTCATTTTTGATCATTTCTAATTAAATGATATCTGATTAAGATTTTTGTCAGCTATAATTATACAGTATCAATTTTGTTTTTTCTTTCCTTCCCTTAGGACCCCCCATTTGTTTTAGATGCTTCTCTTGGTGTGATAAGTAGAGTAGAAAAAATTGGTGGTGCTTCAAGTCGAGGTGAAAATTCTTATGGACTAGAAACTGTGTGCAAGGTAAATGTTATAATTTGTATGTGATTTTGTTTAGTTTGAAAAACTTTCTATTCAGTAGACCCTCTGTTTAGAAACTGGTTTCCAAAATATCAGATGGATTTCATTCTAGAAATGTCATTCTAGTAGAAGAAAAAAAAATTCAGCCATAAGAGAAAAGATGATTCATGACTTACACTTAATTATTTTGGACCTAATTTAGTCTGCATATTTCAATATGCTCACAAATTCATAGCAACTTATTTTTATAATGACCTTCTTTAACGTGCATAGTACTCTACAGCATATAAAGTACTTTCACATTTATTATTTCACTGTGAGCCTCATAAAAATTCTGTGAGTTAAGCACAATAGACATTATTACCTTTAATTTACAAATTAGAAACATAAAATGTAGAGCATTTAAGGCACAATACTTTTGTTCTGAATGTTCAGTTTCACTAGTTATCGCCGAAAAGCAATTAAATGAGATACAATTTTCTCCTGTAAGATTGACAGATTAAAAAGAATAAGATCCATACTATTAGACTTGAATTTATTTACTATTTCTTTTCTGTTGGATATTATGCAGCTTTGAAAAATAGCAATATGTTATTGACAGAAAAAGGTATACATAATGATTGTTAAGTAGAAAAAGAAGTTCTAAATCCATTCCTGCACATACACACACACAATCACTTAAGAATCTAAAGGGATATATGAAAAGATTACATTAATATTTGTGTGCTTGATTTCTATTTTCTTCTTTGTGATTTTTATATTTTCTAATTGTAAAAGTTCTGATATGTGTGTATCATGGTCAAATAAGGATTTTTTTTAACATACCAAAATTTATAGGATGCTGGGCTCCTGCAGTGCATAGAGGAAAATTTATACTTGTAAACTCCTATATTAAAAATAAGAAAAATCTCCATCAGTAATATAGACTTATGCCTTAAGAAAATAGAAAGAAAAGAAGAGCAAACTAAACCAAAAGCAAATATAGGTAGGGAAGGAAATAACAATGCAGAAATATGTGAAAAAGGGAATTAAAGAACAACGCCAGAAGTTGATTCTTTAAAAAGATCAACAAAATTTGCAAACCTTAGACTGACCAAGAAAAAAAGAGAGAAGACTGGAATTACTAAAATTGGAAATAAAGTGGGGGCATTACATTGTCATTATGGTTTTTTGTGGTGGCAAGACTAAATTTCTTTTTCTTTCTCATTTGCATTTTTGTTCTACCAGTGGGTTTTGTTCTTTCTTGTCTGTTCGTGGTGGTGATTATCATTTTTCAGATTTCAGATGTAGGACTTCCTTGAGGATTTCTTTTAGGGCTGGTTGTATGGTGGTGAACTCCACAGATTTCGTCTGTCTGGAAAATACACTATTTTTTCCTTGTTTCTGAAGGATAGCCTTGCTTGGTATATTATTTTTGGCTGGCAGTTTTTTTCTTTTAGTATTTTGAATATATCATCTTATTTTCTTCTGGACTGTGGAGTTTCTGTTGAGAACACTGCAGTTAGTCTGATAGGGGCTCCCTTATAGGTGACTTGATGCTTTTTTCTTGCTTCTTTTAAGATTCTCTCTTTGTCTTTGAGCTTTGCCAGTTTGGATATAATGTGTCTTGGAGAGGATCTTTTTAGGTTGAATCTGTTTGGGGATCTTTGAGCCTCCTAAATCTAAAGGTCTGTGTCTCTCCCCATACCTGGGATGTTTTCTGCTATTATTTCATTGAGTAGTTTTTTCATGCCTTTTTCTTTCTCCTCCCCTTGTGGAACATCCATGATTCAAATGTTTGTGTGCTTGAGGTTGTCTGTTAGCTCTCTTAGATTTTCGGAGAGAGAGAGAGAGAGAGAGAAAGAGAGAGAGAGAGAGAGAGAGAGTGTGTGTGTGTGTGTGTATTTTTTTTTATTTTTATTTTTTTACATACATTGGCAGTTATCGATTCTGTTCCTAACACATATTTCTGTCCAGGCCTTTATTCTGGTGGGCACCATTGTTAAAATTTGTACATAATGCTTTTAAAACCATTACTGGTTAAAAACAAGGTTGGTAGAAAAAAGCATCACTGTTTCTCTGTGAGAAGTGGAGTAAATTGTTTAGCATATTTATTCTGAAGTTTTAACATTTTTTAAAATTTAATTTAATTTTATCAATATACAGTTTGGTTAATTATTATGGCCCATTAAAAAAAACTCCCTCCCCTGTCACTCTCCCTTATTCCTCCCAACAACCTCATATCTGTTCGCTTGTCGTAGCAACTTCAAGGAATTGTGATTGTTGTGTCTTCTTCCCTCCCCCCCCCAGTTTAATTGTGTGTTTATTTATTTTTACCTCCTACAAATAAGTGAGAACATGTGATATTTCTCTTTCTGTGCCTGTCTTGTTTCACTTAATATAATTTTCTCTAGGTCCATCCACGTTGATGCAAATGGCAGTATTTCATTCTTTTTTATAGCTGAGTAGTATTCCATTGTGTAGATATACCACATTTTCCATATCCAGTCATCTGATGATGGACATTTGGGCTAGTTCCAACTCTTAGCTATTGTAAAGAGTGCTGCAATGAACATTGGAATACAGGTATACCTTCAACTTGATGATTTCCATTCCTCTGGGTATATTCCCAGTAGTCGGATAGCTGGGTCATATGGCAGATCTATCTGCAATGTTTGAAGAACCTCCATACCATTTTCCATAAAGGCTGCACCATTATGCAATCCACCAACAGTGTATGAGATTTCCTTTTTCTCTGCAACCTCGCCAGCATTTATCATTCACAGTCTTTTGGATATTAGCCATCCTAACTGAGGTGAGATGGTATCTCAGTGTGGTTTTGATTTGCATTTCCCGAATGCTGAGTGAT